CACACACAAACACAAAGTTTTCGTCAGAGTTTTTACTTTGAGTGTCATTGATGGTTCTCCTGAAAAGAGCTGACTAGTCTTTGAAATCACAAAGTTGGTAGCAGGAAGGAATCTTCTGGCTAAGCACAAGACATCATCTTCACTCACATGGAACTCTCTCTTTGTATCTTCGTTTTTCCTAAAGACAACACATTGACATTGATGGATCAAATCAAAATCTTAGCTCAGTACGATATCCAAACATAGCTGCAAAAGGGCAACAAAATTAGTGTACCTTTGACAAAATGAGTTTGACAGGAACGAGCCGCAAAGTAACACAAGTCCGAAATTGGAAACCATCGAGAAAACGCTTCAAACACACGAAATGATTCCATGACTACCAGTTCTGATTAAGGCTATAAACACAAGCTAGAGAGGGTAATAGTAATACTGTATGTACCTAAAGTTAACTCCTTTGGCAAAGCAGGAAGAAAGGAAACATAAAGATCCAAAACCGAACCAGAGAGTCGATTTTGCAACATCTCTCCACATAACCAAATCACTAATTATCTCTCCAATCCGATTCAACTCGCTTTGACAAACATATTCTTCACCTAATCATCAAATCCACACACAAGCAAATCAGTATCATACATAACAAGAACAGAAAAAAGAAGAGTTAAAAGAGCCTACTTGGAAGATCTGAAGAAGGTAACAAAGGAGCCGAATTTTGCTTTTCCTTCTTCGATCGACCATTGTATTTCCGTTTTCTGGGCTTTACGATTTCTTCAATCACTTCATTAGTAGCTTCTTTCTCTTCCACTGCCTCCGATCTACGCCTCGATCTCCGGGTATTCCTTGGAGAAGCCAAAAGACCCTTTTGCCCGCCTCTCGTCTTCCCTCGCTTACGAACCACCGCAGCTGGATCCGCTGCATCTTCGGAGGCCATTTCGAGCCGATCGGCTAAACGGGTCTTCGATTTGCGAAGCGGAGAAGGAGATAAGAGAAGGATATCGCGAAGAGAGACCGGAGAAGATGCGACAGGTGATGGGTAAGGAGTGTCGTTGCTCTTCGGAGAGTGTAGAACCAAATCAAGAGAGAGATTGAGAGGTTCTTGCTTCGAATCTTCGAGAGAATCGTCGTTGACAACACGAGCGAGACGCGAAGCTAATTTAGTGCTCGATCGATGATAAGGAGGCGTAGAATCCATTGCAATTGAAAAAAAAGTGAAAAAAAATCTCAGAGAAAACAAAGAAATTAAAAATGAGAATTATTTTAGGGTTTTTTTCTGCAATTTGGAATTTTATGAGCTTTTCTTCGGATGAAGAAGACAAGTAGTGGATCAGATAACCGTTGGAGGAAATTTTTGATTTTTTCCCTTTTTTAAGGTTTCAATTTGAAATCTTGACGGAAGTAGTAACGTGTCCCTATCAATTTTTAACGGCGTTTCTTTTTTCCATTTGCTAAGA